GCTGGGTGGTTGTGGCAATTTCTTAAAATAAGACAACAATGAAGTTTGCTACATTGATTGACTCTGCCTTTCATGAAATAGGACTCTGTAGCATGTGACACTGTTTCACAGCATTTTACCCAAAATAGAATTTCTTTCAAAATTAGAGTCAGTCCTCTCAAATCCTGCCTCTGCTTTATCAACTACGTTTGTGTAATATTCTATATCTTCTGTTTTTATTTCAAAAATGTTCATAACATCTTCACCATAAGCAGACCCATCTCAAGAAACCACATTTTTTGCTCATTCATAGGAAACAACATCTTATCCCTTTCTGTTTTATTATGAGATTGCAGCAATTCAATCACATCTTCATGCTCCACTTCTAATTTTAGTGCTCTTCCTATTACCACCACATCTGCAGTTACTTTTTCCACTGACGTCTTGAACTCATCAACATCATCTGTGAGGGTTGGAATCCACTTCTTGCAAACTTCTGTTAATGTTGGTATTTTGACCTCTCCCCATGAATCAGTAATGTTTTTGATGGAATCTAGAATTGTTAATCCATTTCAGAAGATTTTCAATGTACTTTGCCCAGATCCATCAGAGAAATCACAATCTATGACAGCAATAGCCTTACAAAACATAATTCTTAAATAAGAAGACTTGAAAGTCAGAATTACTCCATGATCCACGAGCTGCAGAATGGACATTGTGTAGCAGGCCTGAAAACATCAATTTCCTTGAACATCTCCATCAGAGCCCTTGGGTAACAAGGTATACTGTCAATGAGCAGTAACATTTTTAAAGGAATCTTTTCTTCCGAACAGTATGTTTCAACAGTGGGCTTAAAATACTCACTAAACCGTGTTCTAAACGGATGTGCTGTCATCCAGAGTTTGTTGTTTTATTTATAAGAGCACTATAAGCAGAGTAGACTTAGCATAATTCTTAAAGGCCCTAGGATTTTGGGAATGGTAAATAAGCATTGGCTTCAACTTAAAGTCACCAGTGGCACTAGACCCTAACAAGAGAGTCAGCCTGTCCTTTGAAGCTTTAAATCCAGGCATTGGCATCTCCTCTCTAACTATGTAAGTCCTAGAAGGCAAGGGTCTTCTTCCAATATAAGGCTGTTTTATTTACATTGAAAATCTGTTGTTTGGTGTTTAGCCACCTTCATCAATGATCTTATCACTTCATTGATCAATGATCAATGATGAGTTTAACCACTTTGATCAACGATCATAGCTAGATCTTCTGAATAACTTGTTGCAACACCTGTATCAGTACTTGCTGCTTCACCTTGCACTTTTATGGTATGAAGACAGTACCTTTCCTTAAACCTCATGGACCAACCTCTGCTAGCCTCAAACTTCTCTTTTGCAGTTTCCTCACCTCTCTCAGTCTTCATAGAATTAAAGAGAGTTAGGGTTTTGCTCTGGACTAGGCTTTGGCTAAGGATGATGTTATGTCAGGTTTGATCTTCTATCCAAACCATTCAAACTTTCACCATATTGACAATAAAGATGTTTCACTTTCTTATCATTAATGTGTTCACTGGAGTAGCACTTTTCATTTCCTGCACAGACTTTTCCTTTGCATTCACAACTTGGCTGTTTGGTGCAAGCAGCTTAGGTTTTGCCCTATCTTGACTTTTGACATGCCTTCTTCACTAAGCTTAATCATTTCTCTCTTTTAGCTAAAAGTGAAAGATGTGGGAATCTTCCTTTACTTGAACACTTAGAAGCCATTGTAGAGTTATTAGTTGACCTAATTTCAGTATTGGTGTATCTCAAGGAATAGGGAGGCCCAAGGAGAAGGAGAAAGACGGGAGAACAACCAGTTGATGGATCAACCAGAACACACAAAACATTTATCAGTTAAGTTCATCTTCTTACATGGTTGCAGTTCTTGGTGCCGCAAATAATTAAAATAGTGTCATTAAATGTCACTGATCACAGATCACCACACTAGATATAATAATAAAAATGGTTTGAAATACTGTGAGAATTAACAAAATGTGACATAAAGCCACAAAAAAGCGTATGCTTTTGGAGAGATGGCACCAGCAGGCGTGATCAATACAGAGTTGCCCCAAACTTTCAATTTGTAAAAACTGCACTACCTGTGAAGCACAATAAAGCAAAGCAAAGTTAAGTGAGGCTTGCCTGTACTTCAAAAAATGTCCTATCTAATTGGAAAGAGTGAATTTACATAAGTAAGAATAATTTTAAATTTTTGTACTAATAAATGCTGAAAGAAAATATTCAAAATGAAGAGAATGCAAGCCAAAGAAGACTAATAAGTCACAAAGCCTTTTTCAAATGTTTAGCATATTATCAAACACACACACACACACACACACACACACACACACAGGCATTCTAATAATAGTTGGCATTCTTACTAAGTCTTTGTAAGAGATAAAGCAGCTGTTGTTTACAGTTCAAATCAATATTGGGCCAATACCTCAATAAAGGATGAAGGATGTGTTTAGGCTGTTTTACTAAATCTACATTTTAGATCATTGTAACTTACTCTCTTTTACACCCACTTTAAGCGATCATAGATTGATTAAATACCCTAGACAAAAATTAGAGTCAAGTTATTTGAAGGCAAGAGGAAGACTCATATATAAGTATTAGTTGAAAAAGAATTCATGTCAAGATGGCAGCTGAGCACAGGCTAAAGCTTCCCCACTCCTACTTCAAACAATAGAGAGGCTAAATAAAATATTTTAACATATAACATTGAAATCCATGACAGAGCTGAACCATAAAGATGGGAAATCTTCACAGGCTAGAAACAGAAAGAAAACCTATTGGTGGGGAGTATATAAACCAGCAAAGTCTACAGTGCAGAAATAGGGTATTTTTAGTCTGGCTATAGGACATGAGGCTAGAGTTCTAATATCGAGGCAGGAAAAACTAGATTTGAGGTTTTGGGCTTCACGCATATAAGGAATCTAAAATTGAGTTTTCTACGGACAGTTAGTGCTGGTCCTACAACACAGGTTCACAATCTGTGATGAGGAACTTCAATATTCCTACCTTCCAGTTAGAGGGTTAGCCCAGATATATGCAACACATATATGACTATGGTAGAAAAAGATTCACTAAAATGAGATTGGGACATTTAGCCTGCATTGCAGGAGGATTGATATTTTGAATTTCAAGACTGTAATTTAAAACTAGATTAGAGATGATATGTTTTGGGATAGGGCAGAAGCATTCTCAAAACTGCATTATAGAGAGCACCTGCAATTCTACCTGAGATAGCTAGTGGAAGATAACCTCACCTATCAAGAATTACAAAATTTGAGGAGATGCAATGCCTTTTAAAATAATATGCATACATCCCAAATGGGTGAATTCACTCAGAGAAACTAAAGAAAGGAAAACAGCAACCATAAAGGTTTTACTTAAGTTACAAAATTAAAGATGAAACACATCTTTTTTTTTACTTGTGTCAAAGATGCAATAGAAGGGCTAACACTCACAAAACAAGAATAAGGTATTATAAAACAAAATCTGATATATTTAAAAATTAAGTACAATTCTGAAAAAAGTCTACTCATTAAAATAAAAAATACTGAAAAAATGGTTGGAACAGATTAGACACCATAGAAAATAAAATTAGAGAACTGGAAGACAGAAAAAAATTACAGAGACATAAAGTGATAGAAATTATGGATAAAGGACTAAGAGCTTTGGAGGATAGAAACAGCAGCTCTAATATATATGTGAGGGAAGTCCCACAAGTAGAAACTAAAGAGACTTGTGGAAAGTCAATATTCTAAGAGACAAAGAGTGAAAAATTTTCAGAAAAAAGAAATAAGTCAAGTAGTCAAAAGTTATGTCAAGTACTAATTAGGATACATGTAATTAAGTCAGCACCTAGGTATTGCTATCACAACACCTCAAGGATAAAGAAAAAGAAAGATTGCCTATAAAAACATGACAATTAGATCAATCACAGACTTTAGACACATCCTTGGGTGTTACTGTGGGTTCAAATTATTAAGCATCAGATTGAAAAACGTAGGAATACAGCTTTATACAAATTCCTACATTAGGATTAGAAACCCTGTGGCCTAGTTACCATTCACTCCTTAATTGGGATCAGAAATTCCCAGTGAGAGGTTGAGGGTCATGAATCCTGTAGCTTGGTAGTTTCCTAGACTATTCTCTTGATGAGCCTCCTGCTTAGGTCACACCCTCACATCCCCCGATCCTCTTCGACTGCATCTTGCTGGTCTAGTGTCTTCTTCCATCTACATCCTCAAAGGGCTCTAGGTTCTTCACTGTGCTTTTTCCCGGGCCTGGGCCACAGATGAATGAAGTGAACCTTTGGTATTTCAGGGCAACTACTGGTTTTAAAATCAATTCCAAAGATTGTGCATCCCTTCCCATCATCACTGCCAAAAAAAAAAAAAAAAAAATGGCATTTAACACTACATGAACAAGACCGTTTTTTATTCACAGACTGGGCTTCATAGGGCATGCAGAGTTCAGAGTTTGGTGTCTCAGATACTCATTATAGAAAGGACTAAACACACACATACACAGAGAGAAAAAAAAATGCATGTCGTTAAAATTCGTTCTAAAGAAAAAAAAAGCTCATTCTAAAGAACCTTGGTGTAAGAATGTAAGAATGAATGTTAATTATGGATTTTTTCCTTTTAATGTAGCAATAGATTTCATCAGTCAGTCAAGGCAATCTGTAGGTTATATCTAAACATAGTTGACCCTTGAACAACATAAGGTTAGCGTTGCCAACATCCTGTGGAGTTGAAAATCCTCATATAACTTTTGACTCCCCGAAGACTTAACTACTAATAATATAAATGGTCAATTAACACATATTTTGTAGGTTATATGTATTATGTACTGTACTCTTACAATAAAGTAAGCTAGAGAAAAATGTTATTAAGAAAATCATAAGGAAGAGAATATATATTTACTATTTAGTAAGTGGAAGTGGGTCATCACAAAGGTCTTCATAATTTTTGTCTTCAGGTCAAGTAAGCTGAGTAAAAGGAGGAAGAGGAAAAGTTGGTTTTCCTGTCTCAGGCATGGCAGAGTTGAACAAAAATTTGCATGTAAGTGAACCCTCACAGGTCCAACCTGTGTTGTTTAAGTAGCAACTCTACATACAATATCTAAGTATCTATATTTGTGTAACTAATGGATAATTTTGCAATTGCTTTTTATAATTATTATATAATACCTTCTAAATGGAATCAGAAGGTACAGTTTCCTACATGTTCTGTTACAGCAAGAATATTATCTCAATTTCAGTATTATTGAAAAAGTCACCCTGAGTAAGAAATGGTTCACACTTTTCCTTTTTACCTACACTAGAAATCTAAAGCCTTAGAAAAGAAGCTTTAAATAAAAGGAGCTGTTAGTTAGCATCATACAATGACAGTCATTACAATTTCAAAAAATATCCAACTATTACAATTTTCCAACTAAATGAATGAGGATGCTTTGGGTTAAGTAAGATATTATTGTCAGGAATTTAAAAGTTCTTACATATGATAAAAATCTGTGAAGATTGCAGAACCATACATATATTTTTGCTCCAGAAAAGTCAGGTAAAAATCAATCAGATATTTTGGACAGCAGTGAGCAAACAGCTGCCATGAGTCTTACAACCTCCAGACAAGGACTCCGTGACCCACCTCCAAGTCATAGGCTTCTTGTTTCCCAAGCAGCATGTGTGTAAGGAAAGTAGGAAAATCAGACTTCTCAAAGATGTAGTAGACTGTTAGCTGTTTGTTTAAACCTGCTTTCTGGGATTAGCTCTATCTTACTTTGTGCATTTGGGGCTGAAGGTTAGACAAGGGTCAAGTAGGAGATTTCAACACATCTGATAAAGGTTTGTTCTTCACGAGAAGAGGAGAACTTTTCACCAGTTAGGCCTAATGCCCTCATCTTAACCTCTTCCTATTATTCGCCTGTGTAAGGAGGCTCAGGACAGCATAGGGCAATTTTAAATCTCAATGCACAAATCCATAACATTCATTATTATCTAACTTCGGAACTACTCTCTAGCTTGAAAGCTCACTGTTCAAATATGGCCTTGCATTAGCACCGGCCAGTTCATCCTGGACTGTGTTTGTGGATTAGGGACAAAGTGAAGACATTTTTTTTCCCTTTCAAACAGAAATTATCACAACTAAATATTTGTGAAAGCCAAACAAAGGAATATTCTTAGATATTTAAATGCAATATGTACTCCCTATTCTTCAAAACCAAGTCTACGATGATCTTAAATTTTTTTCTAAGATGATTGTTCATTCTTTAAACATATTACTGTTTGTGGGGGTAGATTCTAGTCTTAAAGACTTATAAATCCCTCTGATTGGTACTAGAAGTTCCCCCATCTCAATGACATTGTTTTCACAGTTATATTTTGGGAGAGAGAGGAAACAAGTATAAATAGGAAGAAAAGTTGTAGAGAGACAGGAGAGCTAATTCGTGTCTCACATTCTCAGTGTTTGCTTTGTAAACTGCTGCCACACAAAACTATGGTCATGTCTAGCTTACGACAGGGATACAGTCTCAGAAATGCATCATTAGGTAATTTTTTTTTTTTTTTTTTTTTTTTGGCTCACTGCAATTTCCGCCCCCTGGGTTCAAGGGATTCTCCTGCCTCAACCTTCCAAGTAGCTGGGATTACAGATATGTGCCACCATGCCCGGCTAATTTTTGTATTTTTAGTAAAGACGGGGTTTCACCATGTTGGCCAGGCTGGTCTTGAACTCCTGACCTCAGGTGATCCGCCCACCTCAACCTCCCAAAGTGCTGGAATTACAGGCATGAGCCACCGCGCCCAACCTCATCAAGTAATTTCACTCCATGGTAACTTCATAGAGTGTGCTTACACAAACCTAGATGCTATAGCATAGTATATACTTAGGCTATATGGCATAGGCTACAAACCTGTACAGCATATTGCTGTACTGAATGCTGTAGGCAGCTGTAACACAATGTTATTTGTGTATCTAGCCATATCGGAACATAGAAAATGTAATGTGCTCTGTTTATACTGTTAAGATGTTACAAAAGCTACACCACCACCAGGCAATAGGAATTTTTCAGCTTCCTTATAACCTTAGGGGAACTACGTGGCACACAACTGTACTTGCTATGCCCCAAGGGGATTAACAGATGGGGAATAGGGAAGGGAGATGTTCTCATATTGGCGTTCCCAAGTCTTTGCAATGATTTGCACTCCTGCCTCCAGGTCTTAGTTAGTAGACATTTTCTGCAAGTCTACTGACTGACGAGTTTTAACATTACACTTATCACTCTGTATTTCATCTTCTTATTCCTTGTCTATCTTTCTCGATAGACTATGAACAACTTGAGTACAGAGTCTCTGTCTCATTTGCCTCTGTATCTTTAGTGCTTGACACAGTTCTGAGAACAGAGCACGTGCTCAATATTTAACCAGAGAATCAATGAACACTGAAGTTACTCCACTTCCCTTCACCCTCTGCATACACTTAGATACACATAATATTTAGAGTTCATTCAACTGAATTCCACATACTTAATTAGCTGCATTTTCTTTTGCACATAACTATTCTGTCTTTCCATTGTGTCCTGGGTTAGTGCACCCCAGCTCTGCTTTCAAAACTTTTCTGTTACATCTCTGTTCCTGAGTTATGCAAGGCATCTTAAACACCTGGAAATAAAATATTTATGTGCTTCTTTCCATTCTTCACACCATAACCATAAGTGAAAGAGGGAACTATTTTAAAATAATGCAATAATATTATAAAGTCAAATAGCCTTCTGTGGGGAAAAAAAAACAGATAGTAAATAAAAGTCAAGATAGCCATTGAAGTTGTCCAAACTCCAATACTGAAAGGAAATAAGACAAATGTTTGAATTACATGACAAATCAAATTGAATGCAACGATATCATAATTTCATAATTATTTTCTTTTGCATTACTTTCTAGTTAAATACCAAAGCTAATCGCATTTTAAAATACTTCTCCAATATACTGCGGTTCAGAGGCCTGAGCTAGTAAACAACTCATAATGTTCTTTACTTCCTGTATCCTTTGTTTTATTTTAAACTGGAAATAGCCAGGTGTAAAACTGTGCATTGCATTTTTCTCATGTGGTGTGATTTTATTAGATCATTGTTTGGAATTAACCATATAATTAAAATTATAGCCTTTACCTCATCCTATTAAACAATGGTTACAGAAAAATGACCCAAATGCAATATAAAACATGGTGGATATGCTCCTATGGTTTTTACCTTAGGATCCCACCACCTTCTTAGCTTATTTTATATGTAAATAAGATCCTCCTTGCTCATGATGCTTCTCTGTTTCTTGTCAGTTATTTGTCATCTTTTGAAACAGGATTAACTGTTTCAATGACATAGAGCATATGTCTTTAATTCCCCAGCCTAACTTCCCTTGAACTTGATTTTACTTTTAAATTTTACATTTTCTTTTCTCAGTGATTCACCCTCTATTCCTAAATATCACAATCAGAACAGAAGACAACTCATTTACCCTTGATATTTTAAATAGCCTAGACTTCTCGCTCTCATTGTAGATCACAAACATCTTTTCCTGGAGCCTCACTCCTGCCATGCCAGATCTCATTTTTGCTCTGTCTAGCCACCCTGAAACGTCTTTCCTGCTACTCTCTATCAACTCAAAACTTACTATTTCTTAAAATTGGCTCCTGTCCTCTTTTGCTTCTTGACAGCTTTTCCAAACAAAAGCAATCTCAGAGACATATATGCTTCTCAGTTAAAATGGCAATTTTCCACCATCTTCCCATTTAACAATTAGGAACATACTGTCTTCCATTGCTCATTTATTGTTTTACGGTTATTAGTAGTGGCTCTTCCATGAGATTATAACAGGGGTTGCAAACTCTTTCTGTAATGGGCCAGGCAGTAAATATTTTAGGTGTTTCATGCCTTACAACATCTGTCACAACTACCGAACTCTGCCATTTTATATGTGGACAGCAGCCATACGCCATATGTACATGAATGGAATGACTGTGTTCCAACACAACTTCATGTATGAACTCTGAAATTTAAATTGTATGTAATTTTCACGTGACATGAAATAATATTCTTTTGAAAAATTTCCCAACTATTTAAAAATGTGAGAACCTTTCTTAATTCACAGATCACACAAAAAGAGATGGCAGACTGGGTTTGGTCTCTGAGCCATAGTTTATTGACCACTGGATTATAAACTTCTTGAAGGCAGAAACAGATATTACAGGGTTTGAGAGTCCAACAGTTGTTCATCATTTACCTAGCCTAAGGCAAGGGACCAATGATTCTAGCCATCCAATCTGGGAATGTTTGGAGGGCCTGAAAAACATTTTAGAAAACAGATAAAAGAGGTTGAAATCTCAAGGAAGAGGGAAGAAGAGGCTCCACTTCTCTTTCCACTTCCTAAGTTTTCGGGACGTCTGTGTTCAAACACAGTATTTCTTTGAACTAAGCAGAAATCTTTGAAAGGGCAGAAGGCAGGCTCAAAGCCGCAGATGCCATTTTGAATACAAGCTTCATATGGTCTCCGTGGGAGTCTGTAAAACCCAGCGCTCTCCTCTGTGGGAGTTCTTCACTTTTAGCGTGATGGCTCTGTATTTAATTACACTGTATATTTTCTTCTTTAGTGCTGTGATACAGAAAGACAGAGACACAGAGAGTGCAGGAGAGAGAGAGAGAGAGAGAGAGAGAGAGAGAGAGAGAGAGCTGTACTCCAGCCCTGCAGATTAGGAATGTCCTCAACATTCAACCCATGAAGCACACGAAGATACTCCCCCTTGACATTATTTATCTAGAATGTTCTCTTTGAGTTATAGTACCAAAGGGGGGAAATACTCATTTAATGAAGAGAGAGTTTCGTCCAGTTTAAAAGCCATAATTTTGTATGCATGTCAGAAAAACACATAATCTGAACAATAAATTCACCCAGCCAGACTGAGGGCCCACTTGCCACTGGAATCTGTTTTTCTTTTTACCATAATGAGGCGACATCCCTTTCCTTGGAGAGGAGAGTTCAATAGTTTAATTTTTGTTAACTGAGATCCCTTGT